GAAGGAGATGCATGCCCCCCCCCCCCCGCCCCATTTTTGTTTTCAGGATGCTTTGGGGGGGCGCTGTTAGGCCCAAAATGGGGCTCAGGGAAGTATGGAACCCCCCAGTTTTGGTCCCTGGAGGCTGCAGGGAGGCCTGCTAACCCCAAAACAGGATGCAGGGAGGGGTCATCACATGCATGAGGGGAGCACAAAGTGAGCGCATTTTGCAGGGGGCAGGGCACATTGCATTATGGGCATGACAGACAATTTTTGCACACAAGGAGAAAATGGTTAGCCGCCACTGTCCTAATCTCTCCCTCAAACATTCTGGGCTGTGGTTTAATCAGCTGAGGAGGTTGCACAAGAGAAAGAATCAAGACCAAAGTGTATTTCAAGTGTAGCACAATCTGCAATATCCATCTGTAGTCATGCCAGGATGGGCTGATGGCATCTTGCCTGCCTCAGATCTTCTTCAGCAAAGGGCCCCAGTGTGCTGTTCCCACAGGACACTGGTCCAACTGGTTTGCAGGGTGACTTCTCCACAGGCTCCCAATGCACGTTTCCTTTCCTGGGAACGTCAGTGCTCCAGCTCCTAGGATTTCTCTCTCGTGCCTCAGCAATCTTCCCTTCCAGCTCTTTCTCTCTTCCTCCTTTCCCCTTCTTTTCTCCAGGCAGTCTGACCCACTCTGTGGGCGGTGGGCCCCTTTTATACTGTTTTCCCTTCATTCTAGCTCCCATCTGATTGGTGGTCCAGCCTTGGACTCAACCGTTTTATTGGTCCTAACCGTGATCATTTCATTGGCTCCAAAATCCAGCAACAGACCAATCCCCATGCGGTTCTGGTTTTTTTTTTTTACGCGCCCTTTTCCCATTGGCTGAAAAGGATAGGTTTTCAAGCCCCAGAATTAATAAGAATTGAAATGAATGGGGTAGTCTCAATATTAGTTGATTTACGCCAGAATAAAGCACTGGTTGAATTCACATTGTCCTAAGATATAAGGGACTCGTCTGAGCCTAGCCTTTGGGTTTGTGTGTACAGCGAGCGAAGTATGAATCATGGTTTCATAAACTGGGATTAAACAAACCAAATTTTAATGCAGTGTATAGGGATTTATCAGTAAGTAAGTAAGTAAGATCTTTATTACGGTCAAAGACCAGCAATATGCATTTGTTTTTACACTATATTAAAAAATACTAACGTTAAAATATAATTAAAAAGTATTGGGATTAAAAGTGGATAATAACATTATGGTCCAAAGATTGTGAAAGGTATGTCCAGATAATAGGTACAAG